GACGGCTGGCCGTTTCCGAATACGTCACGAGGCTTATCTCACGTTGCTTCGAGTGCCAGGTAGCTCTTCAGTCATTGTGATATTCTTTACTGTCACCAAACGCTGCAGATCAGTGTTAGGGTTATCTAATTCGGCCTTTCTTCCTCCGCGTAGGTGTTTATGTTCGGGTCAGTGCCTCTGAAGACTTATCTTCCTGACGGCGATATTGACTTAACCGCATTTTCCCGGGGTCCAACCGTGAAGGACGCGTGGGTCCACGACGTTCAAGCGATCCTGGAACGCGAAGAGCGGAACGCAGATGCTCTTTTCCAAGTGAAAGAAGTTCAATACATCCACGCGGAGGTACTTATTCCCACGACCTCTAGATGATATTACTGTTTACCAGCACACTGTTGAAAGGTTTTAGATACGATGAATTCCTTTCGTGTCTACGAAATATGTATGATTCAATTTGGGTGATTTTTTCCCCTCGTGCTATTTCGCAGGTCAAGCTGATCAAGTGTCTCGTGCAGAACATTGTGGTTGATATCTCCTTCAACCAGCTAGGGGGCCTATGCACGCTCGGGTTTCTAGAAGAGGTGTATACCTAAGCCGTTCCCCTCGCACGCACATGCGATTTTCACAACGATTCTTTGTTGACAGAATGGGCCGGTACTTAGCAGCATTCCTCGTTGCGTGATGTCGGTTCAGGTGGACGCTCTGATTGGCCGGAACCACATTTTCAAGCGGAGCATTATCCTGGTGAAGGCCTGGTGTTACTACGAGAGTCGAATTTTAGGGGCCCACCACGGGCTCATCTCCACATACGGCCTGGAGACCCTCGTTCTGTACATTTTCCACGTGTTCCATAAGGAGCTGCACAGTCCGTTGCACGTAAGTCTTTTGAGTTTGAAGTGTTTTCCTGCTCTTTTTCCGTCACTTCCTTTCGTGTTCATTTGACCCTTTCCTGCAAATGGTAGTTTTTCTTTGTTCAGTGACATTTGAAAACATTTGTGTTTGATATTGTTGCAGGTGCTTGTCAAGTTTCTGGAGGTATTCAGCAAGTTTGACTGGGAGCAGTTTTGCCTCAGCCTCAAAGGCCCCGTTCCTCTCTCGTCTCTACCCACCATGCTCGGTACGTCCCTGTGCACTGCCCCGTCCTCCTCATCCCGCTCCGTTCTCTAAACAAGAAATCCTGCATACTTGTCATGGAAACCCTAATTCACTGAAATCTACACACGTGCTGAAATTTCTCCAGTGGAGCCTTACACTGATTTCAATATTTCGATTCTTGTGTGCAGCTGAGAGGCCTGGTGGAGTAGAGGACCTGCTCCTCACAGACGAGTTTCTGGCAGAATGCTATGCCAAGTACTCACTGGCTCCCATGGTCCAGAAGCGGCCGTTCATGGTCAAGTTCCTGAACATCATTGACCCTCTCCTGGACAATAATAACCTCGGCCGCAGCGTCAGCAAAGGTATGCCTTGCTCATGCATACTTCTCCAGTTCGCCTCCCTTACGTTTGAGTTTGTCGCACACGCTACTCGCGTCCTTTTTCTATGCTTCTCTAGGATCAGTTTGCGTGCACAATGCTTGCAACACAATGCCGTGCGGGCATTCACAACCTCCTCAATCCGTCCATGTCTCCTCCTCGCGGCCCCCCTCGCCTCGTCCCTCCAGCCAACTTCTTCCGCATCAGGAGCGCACTGGCGTACGGCTCGCGCAAGCTGAACGCGGCGCTGAACGGCCCGGAGGAGCTGGTGGCTCTGGAGGTGGACCGGTTCTTCCGCAACACGTGGGTCCGCAACGCCTCTGGTTCCCGCCCAGACGGCTCCAACCACGAGTTCGTCCTCCAGCACATGCCCCGCCGCTTGCCGCTCTTCGCCCAGCCCATGCCGCCCCCGGTGCAACCCGGAGGCGTGGCACCCGCAGTTGCAAGCGCGGCAGCAGGTGCAGGAGTAGGGGCAGGAGCAGGAGCAGGGGCGGGGACTGGTGTTTATGCTGTTAGGCCGGTCGTGGGTGTTGGTGGGGGGTACCGGGGGCAAGTGAACGCAGCAGCGGCTCATGAGAACAAGCCTCCGGGGGAGGGGGATGTTATGCGGGCGCCGTACTCCCATGGGGGGCAGCATGGCGTGGTGATGAACGGAAACATTGCCGGGCATGTTCCTGGGAACGTGGCTGGGAACATGGGTGGGAACATGGGGAGGCGGCAGCAGGTGCAGGCGTCGGATGGGCCCCACCGGGTGCCATATGGGGGAGGTCATACCTGGATCCCTGCTCCTCTGTTCCCTGTGCCTGCTAATGTGGCGCATGTTCCCAGTGCAAGAGCTTCCCCTCCCATGGCTGGTGGCCCGAGACACGTGCAGCTGGCTCAGCAGCAGCAACAGCAACACCATCAGGCTCAGCAGCAGCAGCTGCAGCAGCAGCAGCAGCAACAGCACCACCACCAACAGTCGCAGCAGCAACAGCAGCAACGACAATACCTACAGGCACACCATCAGCAGCAACAGCAATCGCAACAGCAGCAGCAGCAGCAGCAGCAGCAGCAGTTGCAGCAGCAGGCACAGCAGCAGGCGCAACAACAGCAGCCACAGGGACATACAAAGAGAGCAGAAGCAGTCAACGGGGTATATCCTGTCCCACCAGTGCGGCCCACTCCGGACCTAGCAGCAACCCCTCACAGAACAGCACAGGCGGATGATCATGCAGTGCAGGCAGGCACACACGAAGCCACAGTGGCTGTGAGGCCGACTGAGAATAGTGTCCGTCCCTTGGAGCAGGCCGTTGGTGCTACTGGCATTAGAGCTTCTGTGGCGCAAGACACGTTGGTGAGCGAGCTTGTGGAGAGGAAGAAGGCGGGAAGCGCAGTTGCACGTGTGAGGGAGGAGCAGCGAAGCGAGAGTGAACGGAGTGGAGGAAGTGAGGGGAACCAAGGGAGTGAAAGGAATGAAAGAAATGAAGGGAGTGAAAGCCAGGGCGCACAGCAGGGCGCACAGGGAGGGTTGGACGGAGGGAGTGCAGGACCTGCTGTCAGCTCAGGGAAAGGCGAGGGGAAGGCGGCAGCAAGGCAATCAGACACAGCATCACGAGGTGAACAAGAAGAAGCTGGTTCCGGTTCACGCGCTGCCAAGGGAGCATCGAGAGGTGCAAGGAACAGCAGCAGCAGCACTAGCAGCAGCAGCAGCAACGCATCATCCAACGTACAATGGAGAAGGACGCAGACGGGCTCACGAGGGGCTGTTGCTGGTAACAGCTCTAGTGTCGGCACCATCGTTGCTAGCACCCCTGTCATTAGCAACAGCAGCGCGGTTAGCAACAGTGGTTTGAATGCAGCTGCAGAAGCAGAGCCGGCACAGCAGGTTTCAGGCGGGATTGATGCTTCCTTGGTTGCTGGTGCCCTTCGGAGACAGATCTCAGATCAAAGCAGTGTGGGGAATCAAAGTGTGGGGAATCAGAGTGGGGGGTACCACAGCCGCAGCAACAGCATTCACAGCACTGGATCATCCAGCTCAGTGGAACCACCCCTGAACCAGGATGCAAGCACATTGGACAGCAGAGGCACTGCGAGTCCCCACGCTTCTATCAGCCAATCACCTGTAACAGCTGTAGGAGGAGCTGCAGTGGCAGGGGCAGGGGCAGCGGGTGCTGCAGGGCACACAGGTGTCCCTTCTCGGAGTTTTTCTGATAGGGTTCCGGACAGAAACAAGAGCTGGCATGACACACAACATGAAACAAGACACGGACCTCGACATGGAACGCAGCGTGAAACGCGGGCTGACAGCCCCTCTGTTTCCCCTGCAGTCAGACCAGAGACCATTGCTGTGCCCCACGTTCCGGTTCCTCTTCCTATCCCTGTTCCTGTTCTCGTCCCTCGCACAGCCTCCTCCTCCCCAGTCATGTCCAGCACCAGTTCCCCCACGCCCGACACCATTCTCACCACCCTAGACGCCCGTTCCCAACCCGTTCAACCCACTGCCGCCCCTGCTCCGCTCGGCCCTCCTCTAGGCCCTCCAGCTAACTCCTCCTCTGGCCCTTCACCTCTCCCGCATGTCAGCCCGTTCCCCTTCCCCCCAGGGCTCCTCATCATGGCTTCTACCCCTAACGGCCCCTGCCTTGTTCCGCTCTCCGCCTTCCCAGGGGCGTTGCACCCGCGGCTGCTACAGATGCCTGTGCAGCAGCTGCAGGCGTTTGGATCTCAGCCGTCGGATGAAAGCTTCTCCCAGCAGCTACAGCAGCAGCTGCAGCAGCAGATGCAGATGCAGCTGCAGATACAGCAGCAGCTACAGCCGAGACGAGATGGGGAGGCCAAGGCATCTGGTCCAGGTTCAGGCAGCAACCTGCCACACATCATGCCAGGATCCCAAACCAGGCTCCCTGTTTCAAACTCGGAAGGTTCCGCGGCTCTTCCTCCAGTCCCACAGCTCTTTCCATACATGGCGCTTCCCATGCCCCTGCCGGCAGCAGCAGGCTTTTCGCAAGCGCCTGGGCTCGTGCCTGTGCGACCGGGAGGGGCCGAAGGGGAAGGGTCGTACAGGGGAGCATTTGGTGTGGGTGACAGTGCTGCTAACGCGGATGGCCTTGGGGTTTCAGACGCAGCAGCAGGTGCCCCCGCTGCTGCTGTTGCTGTTGGTAGCAGCGCTAGTGGTGGTGATGGTGGTAGGGGAGACTCAGGTGCTGCGGTTGCTGCTGTGCCACCTCCTATGTTGTGGCAAAGGATGGACCAGCTGCAGCAGGCGCCAGGCTCGAAGCTGCAGGAGTCAAGGCAAGCGTTGGGAGAGCTGATTGGATCAGCAGCAGGAGCAGCAGAGGGAGTTCAGGTCCCCTTACCCGAGGGCGTCAAGTCAGTCACACCGCCTCCAGGACACGTCCCCTTCATTCCCCTCATCCGCCCTGCCTCTGGCGCCCCTCCCTTCGCCCAGATTCCAGGCATGGCGCCGTTTCTCCCGCAAATCCCCATCAGGGCGCTCCACCTCGCTCCCCCGTGGATGTTCCCCCCGCATGCCCATGCGCCCATGCAAGCCCAGGGCGCTGGCGTGGCAGCAGGTGATTGGTCGGATGGACTGGCCAGGGCGGGTTCGCCTATGGCTGGTAACGCTCTGGGTCTGTCTGGGTCTGCAGCGGTGGGGAAGAATGCGGAAGGGGGATGGGAGGGAGGAGGTGGAGAAAACAGGACCAGGGCTCGTGGCAGGACTGGGGGCAGGACTTGGGGCAGGTCCTGGGACAGGTCCTAGGGCAGCAGCAGGGGCGCCCGTGGTGTTTGTGGGAGAGGGGAAGGCAGGTGTTGGCACTAGCAGCAGCAGTGGTGGCGATGCTAGTGGGTGGAGTGGTGGTGGGATTGCCGGGCCACAGCTGACCCCGTTGACCCCGTTGACCCCGTTGACCTCCACTGGTTCGCCTTTGGTGGGTTCGTTAGCCATGCCATTGGGCAGGGAATCTCCAGGGCAGTCACCTGCCCTGAATAGACCCTCCCCAGGCGTACCTGCCCCAAGTAGACCCTCCCCAGGTGCACCCACCCCTCTGCTCCACCCGACGTCTGCCATCCCGTCACCCACGTTTGGCCCATCCAAACCAAGCACCGATCCCACAAAGCAGCAGCCATATGTCCCATCCACTTTCCCCACTGGGGTTCCAGGGTCCTCAGGGGTTCCAGGGGTTCAAGGGGGAGGTCCTGGTGCTAACCCAGGGGGCGTATTCCCCCTCCACCCCTTCTCCCGCCCGTTAGGCCCCCAAGCTGTCCTGCTGTCTCATCTAGGCGGTCCGCCTGGTGTCTTTCCCTCGTACGTCCTTGCTAATACTCCCGTCACGCAAGCAGGTGCACCTGGCGCACAGGGCGTAGGTGTCCCTGGTGCAACCCCAAGCGTTCCAACCACAGCAAGTGGCGCTGCTGCTGCTCCTGCCACTGGGATGCCTAGTGCTGCTGCGGCTGCTGCTGCTGCTCCTGCTGTCACTGCTCCCTCGCTCTCCGTGCTGGCTAATCCTGTGCCAGGGCAGGCTGCAGGAGGCAGTGAGGGAAGCAAGGCGGTGCAGGTGCTGCCCAACCCGCAGCTGCTGCAGCCAAGCACGTTCCCTCCTGGTGTGATACCAGGTGGAATCTCAGGTGGGCTCTCAGGTGGGCCATACTCCTTCATGCTCATGTATGCCCCCCAAGCTGGCATGCTCCCGGGCGGCAGTGTGCCAGGTGTAGGGGCGGCAGGGGCAGGCAGTGGAGGAGGAGGGTTGGGAGTAGCGGGGGTGGGAGGAGGGGCTGAAGGAGGAGAGGGAGGGACGGGAAGAGTAGCTGGTGGTGAGGGAGGAGGGCTAGGAGGGAAGGAGGAGGGGATGCTGAGCACGGGTGAAGTGAGTGTGGAGAGCAGAGAGGGGTGCGAGGCAGGTGGTCCTGCCGTTGCTGCTGCTGCTGCTGCTGCTGCTGCTGCTGCTGCTGCTGCTGCTGCTGCTGCTACTGTCCCTGCTGCTGTTACTCCCGCCACTGCAACAGCTGCTGCCGCTGTGGCTGCCGCTGGTGCTGGTGGTGGTGTGAAGGCAGGTGGGTTGGACAAGAGCAAGATCCTGCAGGCTCTGGCGGATGGCAGCGGTGGTGGGGAGTTCCGCATGCTCCGGGTGGCCAGTGCTGGCAGCATCGATACCTCCAAGCGAGCACCAGGCAGCAGCACCAGCACCACCGGCACCAGCACCACTGGCAGTGGCACCACTGGTACCAGCAGCATTGCTACCAGCAGCACCGGCAACCAGCGGCATTGCCACCAGCAGCAGTTTTGGGACAGCCGCGACGGGCTTTGCGGGGCTTCCTAGAAGCAAACTGGCAGGCTCGCAGGGCGCCTCCGTTGGCCCAAACCTGACTTTTCCTCCCGAACCCACAGGGATCGTGCGGTCAGAATCAGCCCAAGAAGCAGTGAGGCTTGCACCTGCTGTGCCCCCGTCTTCCAGTGTATCGGCCTCTGCTGTTTCTCCTTCTGTCGTTGAAACATCAGCATCAGCAGCTGGTGCCTGTGATACAGCTGCTCCCAGTCCTCTCTCCTCGTCCCCTTCCTCCTCCTCCTCGTTGCCTTCCTTGTCCTCTTCCTCAGTGCGTGCACGGTCCAATTCCGTGGCCACAAGAGACCCATCGTCTTCCTCTGCCAGTGCTCCACGCGTGGTGCGAGGCAGGGGCGGCAGCGGCGGGGGGAGTGAGGGCGTGTTAGCAGAGCCTCGCAGGGGGGCCAGTGGAGTGGGGGGCGAAGGTGGGGTAGCAGAGCCACGGGCTGATGCTGCTGGGGAGTCTGCGTCTTGGGGCAGTGGGGAAGGTTCTCAATGGGGCCATGGCACCACTGCCGGTGCAGTGAGAGGGGAGGCGCGGCATTCAGGTGGAGGGAAGCAGCAGCGAGGGGGCACAAGAGGGGAGGATGGCCGAGGTGAGGGGAGTGGAAGGGGAGAGGTCAGCGGAAGAGGGGAAGGGAGTGGGAGAGAAGGGGGTGGAAGGGAAGGCAGTGGAAGAGGAGGGGAGAGAGTCGGGCATCGTAGGGGAGAGGCTCAGGATATGGGAGAACAGGCAGAACAGCCTTCCTCAAAACTCCAACAACAGCAGCAGCCAGCAGCACTCAAGGGAGCACTAGGGGTGCCCCAACAGCAGCAGGGTCAGGTTTTGGCAAAGCCGAAGCAGAGTCTTGGGTTGAAGCCCTCTGGTTCCACAACTAGTAGAAAGGCTGGTGCAGCCACTGCAGCCAGTGCGGCTCCTGCTCCTGCCACTCCCACTGCTGCTGCTTCTGCTCCTGTTCCTGTTGCTTCTGGTGGTGGTGGTTTTGATGGTGGTGCTCCGAATGCAGTTACTTCCATCCAGAACGCATTTTCCAACAGCATCTCTCCTGTCACTCCATTTAGCGCACCTCCCATGGCACAGCAGGGCGCCGAGCCTGTAGAGCTGGACCGGCGAGTGCCCGAACCAGATGACGAGCCTCTAGCTTCGGCGGAAACGGTGACCATCAGTTGGAGGTCGTCCTTACGGCCGGGGGAAGAAAGGCAGGCGGCAGGGAAAAGGCACCAAGAGCTTCCCAGCAGCAGATACAGGCCACGGGGTGGGGAGAACTGGAGGCGGCTGGTGAGGGTGGGGGTAGTGCGCTTGTGAGCAGTGCGGCACAGAGGGAGGAAGGAGGGTTCCCTGAGGCAGGACGCAGCAACAGCCCGTACTCCTTACAGCAGCAGCAACCTCAGCAGCCTATGCTGTCGCAGCAGCAACAACCCAGAACTCCTCGCAGCAACAGCCCCGCAGCTGCAGCTACAACTACAGCTGCTGCAGCATCAGCTACCACAGCATCAGCTTCAGGAGTGTCAGCAGCAGCAGGAGGGGAGGTGGCATCTAGGGAAGGCACAGCTCGTGAGGGTCCACAGCGAGGTGCGCAGCCTGGGAGGGGCGTCCCGGTCAGAAGACAGGTTCTACAGCGCTCACCGAGGAGGACTTGGTAACCGCAAGGGCCTGGGCTTGACAGGAACTGCAGCTGCTGGTGCTGCTGGTGGTACTGCTGCTGGTTCTGCTGCTGCTGGTTCTGCTTCTGGTGGTTCTAGTGGTGGCAGTGATGGGGGCTCAGATGGGCTGGGGAGTTCTGGAGGGTCCATGGCACCTGGCGCACCAACAGCAGGGCCAGGAGTTTCTTCAGGTAGCTCAGGTGCCTCTGGTGTCTCAGGGCCTAAGAGTAGTTCCAGTGGAGGTAGCTCAGTGGTGAGTGCCAGGGAGAGAGGAGGGTTCAGCAGTACTGGGGGAAGGCGGAGAGCAGGAGCAGCGCTGGCAAGGGTGCTGCAGGCTCAGCTTTGTCGCCTGCAGCGTCGGCGGTGCCACCGTCTCTGCGGTCGATGTCGCCTCGGGCGGGTGGGAAGGGGAGTGCGGGCGTAGGGGCGGGTCGGAGTGGGCAGAGTGGGAGCGGAAGTGGCTCCCCGGTGTTGAACTCTCCCAAAGCAGGGAAAAGAATAAGGTGATCCCTTCAGCATTCCACTCCACTCCATGCCTCTCCACTCCAACGCACCCGATTCTCTCCACTCCTCTCCACTCCATTCCACTTCACTCCACCCCACTCCACTCCACTCCACTCCACCCCTCTCCACTCCTCTCCATACTTTACTCAAGTCCACAGCATGTCATTTCAAAGCTATGGTCTGCAATACATACCTTGTCCATGCGTCCCAAGTATTGTGCAAATTCTCTCCAAACCCACACCAACACCGATCTTGAGCACCATTTTTTGTCTGCATCGTTCTGCTGCGCGTTCACGTCTTGCATGCTGCAGAGGGGAAGACGCTCTATATGAACTCAAGGACGAGGATTTCCCCCCATTACACACTCCCAAGTGATTGCAAGGAACTTCCTCCCTAACATTATATTATATTGGGTGAATCAGGAGTTACAGGCGCTTGGCTTCTCTAGACTGGTGCATAATTACCACGTTGCGTAGGAAAGGGAGTATCTGATTTCCTCTTTTCATTGTTGTCTGGTAGGTTTTTTTTCTCTCTTAGCTAGTGATAGGTACATGTTGCGTAATTAACATGCTAGATTGACAATCAAGTTGTCTCATCCTTGGCCATAATACTTGTAGCCCGCCTGTCTCCTTTGTCGGGTACAAATTTGCATTACGGCTCGAGGAAGACTCCGCGAGATTCGAGCAAAGTTGATTTCCAGGTGCTGCCTCTAGATTCTTTCCACATTGCACTCTCGTGGGTGCGAAAGCTCGTCGGCGACGCTCGAAACCTACTGCTCTCCTCGGTATTGCCGAGCTGGTCTACTTCGCGGTGCTCGTTTCCGTGTCGCTAGCATTTCCTCGCGGACGCATGTTACCGTTCGCCTCTCCAATCGCCAATGCGCGCTTTTCCGAGCCCGTCGTAGTGTTACCTTCTAGTACCAAATGCGGAACGAGAATACGCGTTACTAGCGATTCCGCCATGGAATGCGTTTCTTTAAGACGCGTCTCAGGACGCGCTATAACAGGTTGCGTTTGTAGCAGACCCGGCGGAACCAGGACCGTTAGTCCCTGGCCTCGCTCGCAGAGCCTCTCCGTTTCGCGGCCACGTGTCAGATCCGCCGCTTTTGGCGGCTGTTATTTATCCAACCAGGCTTTTCCGCGGTCAGGTTTTGCTACTGTCACGAGAGGTGCTGCTGCCGGTTGTAATAGTATCGATAGGAGGAGGAGCAGAGGATTTGGAGCTCCCGCTATAAGATTGGCTGGAAGAATCTCTACAGGAAGAAACGGATTCGGTGGCAGTAGCTCGTGTAGGAGTATTGGCACTAACAGCATCAGCATTCACAGCCGTAATTACGTCGGGAGCAGCATTAACAGCAGCAACAGCAGCAACAGCAGTGGCAGCAGCAACAGTAGCATCAGCAGCAACGGGATTTTGAGCAGAAACGGAAAACGGACATGAAAACAGTAGCGAGTATAGTAGCAGCAGGAGTGGTTTTGGTAACAGAAGAAGCGGCTATAACAGGAGCGGCGGGAGCAGCAGTAGCAGCAGGAGCAGCAGGAGCAGCGGGAGGGGCGGAAGGGGCGGGACGCAATGGGAGGATAATTTCTGGGAGGAAATAGAGGCAGTGGGGCGGGAGAGGGATTCCGGGGAGGTGTGGGCGGAGATTGTGGCGCAGCTAGGGGGAAACGGGGGAAGGGGAGGCGGAGGCGGAGGCGGTGGTGGAGGGGGAAAGGGAGGGGACAGGCGAGGCGGAGTGGGAGAGGCGGGGGAAAGATTCGAGGGGAAAGAGGGAGGATGGGGTGAAATGGTGGGAGGGGAAGGTGGGGGGGAGAGTGCAGCCGGAGGCAGTGTTGGAGGAGCTACATATTAGGTGTGTGGTGCGGTAGTGAGTGGCTGAGTAGAGTGTGAGTGAGTTGGGTGTGATTGGGTGTGAGTGAGTGGCAGGGTGAGTGTTGGTCTTATTCGCTACTTTGAGTTGGCGTTAAATCAACATTTGCTAGTTAGCCACCTGAATAGCCGGTTAGGATGGTGGTTGGGATGGTGGTTGGGATGGTCGTGGGGATGGTCATAGCTTTCCCTTCCTTCCTTGCACTCTCTTCTCCCTGTCGCCACTCACTCACTCACTCAATCACTCTCTCCTTGCCCCAGGGACTTCGCGCTGGTGGAGCGCCAGGTGCTGCATTTCTCGCCTGCTTTCAACGTCATCACAGGCGACAGCGGGTCCGGCAAGTTCAATCATCGTGCAGGCAATAGGGCAGGTGAGGCTATAGGGAGAATCTAGCCGTGTTGGAGAATTTTTAAAGGGCTTTTCCATAGGGTCAGCAGCATCAGAAGGCTCTGTGCTACCCCCAGCCCTCTCCTCCCCCCCTCATCCTTTCCACTCAAACTTTCCCTTTCCATTCTTTTCCCCTCTTTTCCTGCCCTCCTTTCTCAAATCAAGGTATTGGGAGCAGCAGCATCTGAGGACTCTGTACGACCACCGGCCCTCTCCTCCTCTCTCTCCGCACATCTCTCCCTCTCCCCCTCCGCCTCTCACTCCCTCCTGCAATTCCTCAGGCAGGAAGGTAGGCTAAGATGTGGTGAAGGCCGTTACTGGGGGAGGTGGTTTAGCTGATGGTGCAGGTGATAAAAACGGAAAGCAGGAGGAGCGTGGTTCAGAGAATGAGCAGTGCTGGGTCGTGTGAGAATGAAGGTGATTCTAGAAAAGGGAGATTTTCCGCTCTGTTGCTGCTGATGGTGATGCTTATAGCGAGTCTGAGGCTGATGGCAGCAGCAACAGGAGGAGGAAGCAGCAGCAAGAGCGGAGGCAAGAGCGGGAGCAAGGGCAGGAGCTCGAGCGGAAGCAAGGGCAGGAGCAGCAAGGCGCGGAGTGTGTGCCGGGTGAATGGAGTGGTGGTGCCTCTGAAGGTTCTGCGTGCCGTGGGTGCAGCCCTGGTGGACCTGAACGGGCAAACGCGCAGGTGGCTCTTAGAAGCGAAGGCGCCTCAGCTGATGCTGCTGGATAGATTTGCAGCGCGGTGGGGGGGATGGGGAAGGGATGGAGAAGGGTGGAAGGGAAGGGTGTGGGGGAAGGAGAGAGAGGGGGAGGGAAGGACGAGGGAGGAGGAAGAGGAGGGGAGAAGGGAGGGAGAGGAGGAAGAGGAGGGAGATGAGGAGGGTGAGGAGGAGAGGGTGGAGGTGGGAGTGTTGTTGGCGAGGGCGCAACAGGTGTGGAGGAACAGAAGAAGCTTCAGGAGGCAGGGGGGGAGCAGGCGCTGATGGTGCTGCAGGAACTGGTGAGACGGGGTAGGAAGTGGGTGAGACGAGGTAGGAAGTGGTGAGGACGAGGTAGGAAGTTGTGAGACGGGGTAGGAAGTGGTGAGACGAGGTAGGAAGTTGTGAGACGGGGTAGGAAAGTGGTGAGAGCAGGTGGGAACTGGTGAGAGGAGATAGGAATGGTGCGAGGAGGTGGGAAGTGGTGAGAGGAGGAGAAGGCACAGAAGATCAGGGAAGACAGCTTAGCAGATGAGGGAAAATGGCGCGTTGGGTGCTGCCGTATGCCCGTTGCACGCTGCCTCACTTCGTCTCGAATTATTGCTCATTGAAAGTATGCCCTTTCCCTGGCCCATATTTTCTCCTTCATTGCCCTTCAGGTGGACGATGTGGAAAGGTTAGGCCTGAAAGAAGGCGAGGTGGAGGCGATTAGGGAGGAGATCAAGGAGCACGAGCGGGCAGGCAGGGCAGCTGAGAGCTGTAGTCGCGCCCTACGGGATGCTGGAGGGGGACTGGGAGCGTTAGGGCGTGCTGCATGGGTTGAGTAAGGCTGTGGAGGAGTTGAGAGAGGTGGAGGAGGAGGAGCAGGAGCAGGAAGAGCAGGAGTGGGAGGAGGATGAGGGGATTGGGAGGAAAGGGAAGAGGGGAGGGAGGGGTGGTGCAGGGGGGTATGTGCAGAGGGGGAGGTTGGAGGATGTTTCAGCTGCTTTGGAGCTCCTGGGGGAAGCTAAGATGCTGGTGAACAGAGCGGTGAGTGGTGGTAACAGAGCGGTGAGTGGTGTGAACAGAGCGGTGAGTGGTGGTAAACAGAGCGGTGAGTGGTGGTAACAGAGCGGTGAGTGTTGAGAACAGAGCGGTGAGTGCTGAGAACAGAGCGGTGAGTGTTGAGAACAGAGCGGAGTGGCGAGAACAGAGCGGTGGAGTCCTGAGGACAGAGCGGTGAGAGCTGAAGACAGAGCGGTAGTCCGTCCGTTCTTACCAGTTTCTCCCTTCAATCTTCTTGCCAGCAGATTTCTTACCATGATTTATTTCATTCCACTTGGACGGCTTTTTTTCTATCTGTGCTGTGACGTGCATCCCCTTGCACTCCACTGCACTTGCACCCACCCCATGGCACCGCATCACAACCTCACCACACCATTCCACCACCGCACTGCACCACACCTAGAAGGACCACGTGGAGTGCTACTTGGACGACCTGCGGTTCTCAACGGGAACGCATGGACCGGCTCAAAAAGCGGTTGAGAGAGGTGATGAGCGGTGCAGAGCGGTGCAGAGCGGTATGGTAGTGCAATTCTGGGAATGGGAAAGATCAGAGGGTATGAGCACAATTGGATGAGACTTCGATCCAATATCCTCTTGGTAGAGGAGGGTGTGTGGCATAACAGGTGTCTCGTGCAATCTGCGCTTCTTCTTGACGTGTAACAATCTTCTAATTGTCTCTCGCTGGCACTGCCCTTTGTTCTTGCTGGCACTGCCCTTTGTTCTCGCTGGCACTGCCCTTTGTTCTTGCTGGCACTGCCCTTTGTTCTTGCTGGCACTGCTCTTTGTTCTTGCTGGCACTGCCCTTTGTTCTGACACACTTGTCCGACTCCTCTCTCCTCTCTGCTCTCATGCTCTCTCCTGCTCTGCTCCCTACCCTCTGGTGTGCCCGTTGCTCTCTTCTCCCTGCTCTGTGCTGCTTCCACCAAAACTGCACCGCACCGCACTGCACCGCACCAATGCTGCATCGTGGCTGGCAGATAGAAATTGTTCGCAAGCGCCACGCCATTCGATCAGCAGCAGAGCTCTGGTCGGCGGCCCAGACGGCGGCAGATCAGATCGCCACCCTCAGGTGCCGACGATGACGATGGTCATGCTGATGCTCATGCTCATGCTCATGCTCATGCTCATGCTCATGCTCATGCTCATGCTGTTGCCTTATGCTTATGCTGATGCTGATGCTGATGCTGATGCTTATGCTGATGGTGATCCTGATGCTGATGCTGAGTGCTGATGCTGATGCTGATGCTGATCCTGATGCTCATGCTCATGCTCATGCCTCATGCTCATGCTCATGCTCATAGCCTGTTGCTTATGCTTATGCTGATGCTGATGGTGATGCTGATGCTTATGCTGATTGGTGATGCTGATGCTGATGCTGATGCTGATGCTGATGCTGATGCTGATCCTGATGCTCATGCTCATGCTCATAGCTCATAGCTCATGCTCATGCTCATGCTCATGCTCATGCTCATGCTGATCCTGATGCTGATGCTGATGCTGATGCTGATGCTGATGCTTATGATGCTGATGCTGATGCTGATGCTGATGTTTATGATGCTGATGCTGATGCTGATGCTGGAAATGGTTTAGTCAGGTGCGATGCTGCTGGTGGCCAACCGCCCCAGACAGCGGAAGATCAGATGGTGGTGGTGGTGATGGTGGTGATGCTGATGGTGGTGATGCTGATGGTGGTGATGCTGATGGTGGGTGATGCTGATGGTGGTGATGCTGATGGTGGTGATGCTGATGGTGGTAATGCTGATGGTGGTGATGCTGAATGGTGGTGGATGCTGATGGTGGTGATGCTGATGGTGGTGATGCTGATGGTGTATTGCTGATGGTGGTGATGCTGATGGTGGTAATGCTGATATGGTTGGTAAAGCTGATGGTGGTGATGCGGATGGTGGTGATGCGGATGGGTGGTGAAGCTGATGGGTGGTGATGCTGATGGTGGTGAAGCTGATGGTGGTAGGTGATGCTGATGCTGGTGATGCTGATGCTGGTGATGCTGATGCTGGTGATGCTGATGGTGTTGATGTTGGTTTTGCTGTGTGATGGTGATGGCAGTGGCTGTTCTCTGTGTGCTGATTAGGTTTCGTTTGTGCCTCATGCTCGATACCTCATACCCCATTCCCTGTCTGTAACATGCCCCATTCCCCGTAACATGCCCCATTCCCCGTAACATGCCCCATTCCCCGTAACATGCCCCATTCCCCGTAACATGCCCCATTCCCATGTCCCATGCGTCAATCCCCATTTGATGACTCATGACCCATGTTCCATGACCCATGGTCCATGACCCATGTTCCATGACCCATGTTCCATGACCCATGTTCCATGACCCATGTTCCATGCCCCATGTTCCATGCCCCATGTTCCATGCCCCATGTTCCATGCCCCATGTTCCATGCCCCATGTTCCATGCCCCATGTTCCATGCCCCATGTTCCATGCCCCATGTTCCATGCCCCATGTTCCATGCCCCATGTTCCATGCCCCATGTTCCATGCCCCATGTTCCATGCCCCATGTTCCATGCCCCATGTTCCATGCCCCATTTCTCCTTTCTTCCTCATCGCTTGAAAACACACCTTCGCCCACTCACTCCAAACTAAACCGCCCCCTTCATCCCCTTTTCCTGAACCCCCTTCCCCGTGTGCCCTCGTCCTCATCCCCCCTGCCCTCGGCCTCATCCCCCCTGCCTCTCCCCCCAATTTTCCTACCTCCTGCCCTTGCAAAATCACAACAGGGAGTGTGGAGAAGAGGCGAAGGGAGCTACAAGACGAAATGAGCCACCTCGCTGCGGAGATCGGGCGGCTCTTTTTGGCAGCTAGCAGGAGGAGGCGGGTGGCAGCAGAGGACCTGGGGGAGAGAGTGGAGGGCGTGCTGAGAGGGCTGGAGATGGGTGCCGCGCGGTTCAGAGCGGTCGTGTCGTGGGTAAGAAGGGGATGGGTTGGGTTGGGGGGGATGATGGCAAGGGGTTGATGGCAGATGATTGGAAAAAGGGTGAGCGAATGCCGGTATAGTTCCAAAGTCAATAATAGGTGGGTGCCGCATGGTTCAGAGCATTGGCCATGTGGGTAAGCTGCTCATGAGTAGATTCTGCATTGGGTATCTGACCTTCCTAAATTACCCCCTCCGTTCGTCTCCCCTTTCTGCCCCGCCCGCTTCTCCGCTGCTCTCCTTCTCTTCCCCCTCTGCTCTTTCATCCTTTCTCCCTGGCTCCCCATCTCCTCCACCCCTTCGTTCTTTCAGACTCCTCTCTCCCCATTCCGTCTCGACTCCTCCCTCCCCTCTCCTCCCCTCCCTTCCCATCCCATCCCATCCGTGCCCCTCCGCTCCCCTCCCCTCCCTGTCCCCCGCTCCTCCCCCCTCGTTTGCAGGAGCCAGCAGCCCCCCACTTCTACAGTGCCACGTCAGCTCCTCTCAGCCAATCACAGCTCAGCATGCAAGAGAGAAGAAGGGGTGGTGGAGGAGAGGGAGTGAGGGCGAGGAGGGTAGGGGGAGTGGCGGCTGGGGAAGGGAGGTAGAATCAGAGTGGGAAGAGGAAGGGGAAGGCGATGAGGAAGAGGAAAGGGAGGGAAGAAGAGGAGGAAGACGATGAGGAGGAGGAGGGGGAAGAGGAGGAGGAAAGCGGGCAGCAGAAGCAGCATGGGACAGAGATTTTGGTGGAGGAGGGATTGATACGAGTGGAGGGGGCTGAGAGTGTGGGCGAGAGGAGCGACGTGCTCTATCGATACAGCAGCACTGGCATGGATAGGGTGGGTGGCATGAGCACGAGGGTGGGTGGCATGAGCGTGAGCCATTTGTTCGATACTTCACATACTGGAACGTTTATAAATCAATGCCAGTGCTCACGCTCCAATGCAGGTGGTGTTTCAACTGGCTCACCCTTCCAAATAATCCCAGTGCCATCCGAACCACCAAATCAATCCAGTCCCATCCGCTCCAATGCAGGTGGTGTTTCAACTGGCTCACCCTTCCAAATAATCCCAGTGCCATCCGAACCACCAAATCAATCCAGTCCCATCTGCTCCAATGCAGGTGGTGTTTCAACTGTCAGCCAATCCGGGAGAGCCTCTGCTGCCGCTCTCCCAAGTGGCGTCGGGTGGCGAGTGCTCCCGAATCATGCTTGGTGGGGTGGGGGGGTGGGGGTGTGGGGTGGGGTGGGGTGGGTGGGGTGGGGAGGGTGGGGTGGGATGGGATGGGCTAGCTGAGGGATCGTGCTGGGTGGATTGGATTGGACTGGCCTGAAGTGAGGTTGGGCTGAGGTGCTGTGCCTGGTCATGTTGAGTTAATAGGGCTAGATTCGTTCCGCAGTTATGCTTGCAGATTGGTGAATGCCCCTCTCGACATAAAGTCTGCGTGAAAGTAGTCGAGCTTTGAGACGTCTCAAAACTGTGCCGCAGTAATGCTTGCAGTTGAGAGGACATTGGTGAATGCCCCTCCCGACTCTTCCATTCTTCCTGTTCGCTTCCCTCCGTTTCTCCCTTCCCCATTTCTCCAGCGCTCAAGATCATTGCAGCTACCACTAGCACCAGCACCACTGCAGATACCGCCTCCACCAGCAGCACCACCACAGATACCGCCTCCACCAGTCCCACCTCCCCATCATCTTTGGAAACAAGCACAAGCAGCAGCAATGAACTCCCAGCAGCCAATGGGAGCGTGCCAGGTGTCAGCGTGTCGGTGTTTGATGAGCTGGACAGCGGTGTGGGCGGCAGGATCGCTTCCCGATTCGCCCTCGCCCTGCGACACCTGTGCAGACAGGGTAACCAGGTTAGTACACCTGCGCAGACAGGATAACCAGGTTAGTACACACTAACTCATAGGTAACTAGGTGAGGTTCCTTATAACCGTGGGTAACCAGGTAGTAAGCTTTTGAATTGTGGCTGACCGAGAGGGTGTATTTCAATACAGGTGAAACTACGTGGGTTTACCTAAGAGTTTACCAGGTGTAGCCTTCCCTGCAAGACATTTACCTAAGAGTTTACCAGGTGTAGCCTTCCCTGCAAGAAATTTCCTGCTAATACACTCCCTGCCCCCAGGTGATATGTATCACCCACCTGCTGCAGGTGGCCGTGCGTGCAGACACACACATCAGTGTGTGAACGCTCGGGTGCTTCCAGCTGATCCCATGCCCCACTTGACACACCCCACACGCCACATCACGATGCATCCCCCTTTCCTCCAGGTCATATGTATCACCCACCTGCCCCAGGTGGCATGGCAGTACACGCAGACGCGCACATCAGTGTGAGCAAGCACGTGGACTTTTGAGGCGCCTCAAAAGTCGCACATGAGTGTGAGCAAGCACGTGGACAGGGCCGATGGTCGCATGCGCACCACTGCTGTACCATTCACCCCCCTTCATTCTCCCTGCCCCCACACCCCCTTCCCTCCAGGTCATGTGCATCACCCATCTGCCCCACGCAGACACGCACATGAGTGTGAGCGCAGGGGGAAGAAGGGAAAGGACAAGGTGCAAGCAGATTAACGGGGTTGATGGGCGCATGCACCTTGTCCCTTCCCTTCTTCCCTCCTGCCTCCCCACCCCCCTGCCACACCCCCCTGCCACACCCCCCTGCCACACCCCCCTGCCACACCCCCCTGCCACACCCCCCTGCCACACCCCCCTGCCACACCCCCCTGCCACACCCCCTGCCACACCCCCCTGCCACACCCCCCTGCCACACCCCCCTGCCACACCCCCCTGCCCCCAGGTCATTTGCATCACCCACCTGCCGCAGGTGGCAGTGTATGCAGACGCACACATCGTTGTGAGCAAGCACATGGATGGGGTTGATGGGCGCATGCGCACCACTGCTGCACCACTCCTCCCCCTCCATTCTCCCTGCCCCACACCCCCTTTCCCGCAGGTGATCTGCATCACCCACCTGCCGCAGGTGGCAGTGCACGCCGACGCGCACATCAGCGTGAGCAAGCAGATTGGCGGGGCCGATGGCCGCATGCGCATGTGCACCACTGCTGTTCCATTCCCCCCCTTCATTTTCTGCCTACCACACCACACCCTCCTGCCGCCAGGTGATCTGCATCACCCACCTGCCGCAGGGTGGCAGTGCATGCCGACGCGCACATCAGCGTGAGCAAGCACATGGACGGGGCAGATGGTCGCATGCGCACCACTGCTGCCCGCCTCACGACCCTGGAGGAACGGGTGAGGCTGGGGAGAGGCACGGGTGAGGCTCGGAGGGAGGAACTGGTGAGGCTGGGGAGAGGCACGGGTGAGGCTCGGAGGGAGGAACGGGTGAGGCTGGGGGGAGGCACGGGTGAGGGTGTAGAAGACAGGGCATGGGGAGTCTGGTGCTTCGTGGCAGAGGCAAGGTTTGGCTAGGTGAGAGTGGAGGGTACGGGGGCGAGGCGATGGTCGAATCGTATGTGCACATTTTTTAGTCGACTCGAAAATAGCCTATATACGAGTAGAGAGGCCAATCGGCAAGGTTAGACTAGGTGAGAGTGGAGAGGACGCGGGCGACGGTCAATCACATGCGCACCACAGCTGTCCGCCTCACAACCCTGGAGGAGCAGGTGAGGCTGGGAGGGGTGTGTGGAAGACAGGGAAGGGGACCTTTGTTGTCCAGTGCATAGGGAGAAATATTGGATGTGCGCACTCTTTCCCCCTCTTTATCCCTCTTTCTCTCCTTCCCTCCCCCCCCACCCCTTTCATGCAGGCCTCGGAGGTGGCTCAGATGCTGGGGCTGGGCCTGCCCTCAGCCCTGGAGCTGTTTAAAGCAAAGGGAGGCATGGAGAGAGCAGTGAACACAGTGAACACAGAGCGGCACTTGAAGGCTGTCCAGAGGGATGCTTGATTGGTTAGCAGTGCTCGCCTCTGCGAGGCCTGGGTGGGCCTGGGTGGGCCTGGGTGGGCCTGGGTGGGCTTGGGTGGGCTTGGGTGGGCTTGGGTGGGCCTGGGTGGGCTTGGGTGGGCTTGGGTGGGCTTGGGTGGGCTTGGGTGGGCTTGGGTGGGCTTGGGTGGGCTTGGGTGGGCCTGGGTGGGCCTGCCATCAGCTCTGGAGCTGTTCAGTGCAGAGGGATGCATGGAGGAACCAATGAATAAGGAAGGAG